GACAGAGCTGGAGAAAAATGTAGAACAAAATTCTAACTCACAAAAAAAGACCAGACTTACTGGCCTGACAGAGACTGAAGAAACCCCCAGAGTATGGTGCCCGGACACACTTATAGCTCAGTAATGAAGTCACTCCTGAGGTTCACCCTTCAGCCAAAGATTAGACAGACCTATAAAACAAAACAAGACTAATGGGGCACACCTGCCCAGGGGGAAAGGACTAGAAAGCAGGAGGGGACAGGAAAGCTGGTAATAGGGAACCCAAGGTTGAGAAGGGAGAGTGTTGACATGTCGTGGGGTTGTTAACCAATGCTGTAAAACAATATGTGTATTAACTTTTCAATGAGAAACTAGTTTGTTCTGTAAACCTTCATCTAAAGTTCAACAAAAACATAAAAAATTTAAAAGAAAAAAAAAATTAAAAATCACACACACACTATGTAAATGATTTGCCCAATAAATGACAATACTCTTAAAGTGCTTAAACATCCTGATAACCTGAGTAGTGGCTGTGTGTAGATTTAGTGACCATAACTAAAACAGGACAAGTTAGACATAGTAGGCTGAATGGTGGCCTCCCAAAAGTTGTGTCCACATCCTAATCCCTGGAACCCATGAGTGTTACCTGATTTGGCAAATGGTTCTTTGTAGACATAATTAAGTTAAAGACCTCAGGATACAGAGGTCATCTTGGATCATCAGGATCAGCCCTAAATCAAACAATACGTGTCTTTACAAGAGATACACAGAGGAGACACAGATACAAGAGGAGGTAATGTGACCGCAGAGGCAGATGGAATGATGTGGCCACAAGGCAAGTGATGCCCACAACCCCTAGAAGCTGAAAGAAATAAAGAATGGAGTCTCCTCTAGAGCTTTCAGAGCGTGAATCGCCTCGCTGATACTTTGATTTCAGACTTCTGGTCTCCAGGTCTGTGGGAGAATACATTTCGGCTGTGGTAATTTGCTATGGCAGCTCTAAGAACGTAACGCAGTAGAGACGGTTTGTGCTGAACTGTTACACCGTAACAGAACACAAGCCTTCTCATAGACCATTGCCTTTCAGTCTCTCACTTCACAGAAACACACTGGATCCAGTTTATTCCAACTTGAGCTAGGTGGTGTGAACTTGAGGCCTCTGCTCGATAACCAGCAACTGTCTACAGCTTCCTGGTGTCAAATTCAGCCACGACAACGAACTAACAAGCCTACTACAGTCACATTATGAAGGAGGTTATTTCAAAAGCTTGTCTGAGATGCATTAGGTGAATATTCTTATTTTACACTAAAAGGGTATTTCCATCTTGCCAAAAGAATCCAGTAGTGGCGTCATTTTCAAGGCCATTGATCATTTACCCGCAATGACGGTATTTAGCAAAGCAATGAAATCATTAGAGGAAACAAGGAATCCAGTTTCATTAGGTATTAATGCTTAGGGGCATACCATTAGATTGCTTGGTAGTCACACTCAGTTAAGGGACGTGAGAATAGTGGCTGTAATGAACTAAACTTCTGTGTTAATACAGCACTTACTGGAGACACCCTTAAAGGTGCCTTTGTGCATAAAAGAACAAGGTTAAAAGACTTTATGTTATTTATTATATTTAGGAAAACCCTCCCTGTCTATGACATAGAGTCTTCATTTACTACCCCTCTGTTGTAAGATGACTTGCTAGGAACTCTCTAAAAGGACAAGCAAATCTAAGCTCTTAAAGAGTATTAGGACAAGGTTCTTACAAAGCCGATCAGTGTTTAAAATATCCTGGCTAACCTTTCTTAAAGGGCAAGAAATCCAAAAGTTAACAAATAAGTTTAATCTCACAGGATCGTTTAATACAGAAGACTGCAGGTTCAAGCTTTCTTCTTTCAGCTTGTGACTTATATATTAATAAATCACATGGGAAAAAAATACTAGAGTAATTATACATTATTTCAAAGAATACCTGCTGATCCTGAAATGCGGAGTGGATTGTCTTCTAAACAGAGAGAAATCCGTTTAATTAAGGTGTTTAACAGTAGAGTAGGTCACTGCTCTATAACCAGCATCTGTCCAGTTTCCTGCTGTCAAACTCATCCACTACAACAAAGCAACAAATCTACTACAGTCAACGTTACATA